CCTTACATCTGATAAACAGCAGTCAGAGATAGAGACAGACACGGATGAAGCCGAAAGACAGCTCATTCGTCAAAAATATCAAGTAATTTTATTGTATGTATGTGTGGGAGAGAGTATCCAAGCCTATACATGAATAAATAACTGGTTATGAGTCATAGTGCATTTTGGAAATAGTCAAGGTTTTAAAAATAAACGCTAAAATGTTATACTGTTCTTAATGTATATGTAAAGTTCTTTTATATATATATATATATATATGTATATATATATATATATATATATATATATATATATATATATATATATATATATATATATATATATATATATATATATATATATATATATATATATATATATATATATATAAATAAATATATACATATATATATATATATATATATATATATTACTGTATTGCTTTACAAAAACATTTACAAATAACCTATTTTAGAGCAGTAATTACAATACCGTGATACAGTGGTACAGTCAGAAACGTATACCGGCTCATGCCTATTCAAGGCTTTCTGAAAAGATGAGTCTCACACAAATGCCATTTGCAGTACACACAACACACAGACATATAAGCATTTAATGACACCATGCGGCTGTGGTGGTTATAGAGGTTATTAAGCAATTGTACTGCCTTTATTACAAACATGCTCTGTTTTAAAAACGTTTTAAATTTCTTATAATTTAAATTATAATTTAAATATAAATAAATATATTTAATCATATAAATATAATTAATTTAAAAAAAATAAAAATCAAAGAGAATTGTATTTTTTTATCCTAGTTTATTTGCAAAAAAAAAAAAAAAAAAAAAAACCTTCTGTGGATATGTGTATACATGCCACCTGGCAATCAATTTGGTGGGTGGGGAAACCTGCACTTCTACTTCTTGTTGCGGTGGGCCTCATAATTACTGGGATTTGGATCCTATTTTAGCATCAGGAAATTTTGAAAAAGACACTTGTTGTGTTTATATCACTTCAGTATGACAGTGGACACGCAATACATACACTCAGTTCTGTCCAAACAGCTTACAGAAATTGATTTTCATCATGGGTGGTTTAACAAACCCCACTAAAAAAGATTTTTGGCTGCTTGTTCAAGCTACTTATTTTAAATGATCTGTTTTGGGACGACTTGTTTTTATGTTTAATCCACTTAAATTTTGTGAAGTTAACTTAATCAGTATGTGTTTGAGCAGCACAAATTAATTGTGGGGAACACTGGATTTTTTTTATAGTGGATTTGTGAAAGGTTAAGTTCAGAAATCTTTTTTTAAAAGTCTATACAATTAAAGTCAAAATTATTAGCACCCACCACCCCCTATGAATTTTCTTTTCTTTTTTAAATATTTGCCAAATGATGTTTAACAGAGCAAGGAAATTTTCACAGTATGTCTGATAATATTTTTTCTTCTGAAGTAAGTCTTATTTGTTTTATTTAGGCTACAATAAAAGCAGTTTTATTTTTTTAAATAAACATTTTAAGGTCAAAATTATTAGCTCTTTAAGCTATATATATATTTTTTTCAATTGTCCGCAGAACAAACCATTGATATAGAATGATTTGCCTAATTACTCTAACCTGCCTAGTTAACCTAATTAACCTAGTTAAGCCTTTAAATGTCACTGTAAGCTGTATTGAAATATTGAAAAATATCTACTCAAATATTATTTACTATCATCATGGCAAAGATAAAATAAATCAGTTTTTAGAAATGAGTTATTAAAACTATTATGTTTAGAAATGTGTTGAAAAAAATTCTCTCTGTTAAACAGAAATAGGGGAAAAATAAACAGCGGGGTGAAAAATTCAAAGGGGCTAATAATTCTGACTGTATAAGCAATCCTGTGATAGTGATGTGCTTGTCAGACCATTAGGTGGCACTCTAATTCTTCATCACACATATAGCAATTCTTGTCTCCCAGTGAGATCTGTAGTTACTTCTATACAGACGGTTTAGCCTATAATTGATTTATTGTATGTAAATAAGCATACTGCCACTCCGAAGTAAATCAAATGACACAAACCAAGCTTAAACAAGATTATATAGTTAATCAAACGCAAGTTACAAGACAACACGATTCATCTCTTTCTGTTCAGACAAACAAATCAAGCAGCATTCTTTGGATCTTATTTAAAACACAAACATGCACTTCACTGTAATTGTAAAGTAGCTCTTAAATATCCTCTAAAGGCTTTGAAATGCAGCAAAACAAAGAAAAAAAAGGAAAAAGCAAAGGTTAGCTTTAGTGATGATTCATTAATGACACAGGCAGAATGTGTGGCTAGTTTGCTCAAACAATCAGGAGGAACCAAGAGAATCAAAACCAATAGATCAAAACAAGTCTCTAAGTAGGCTGGGCTCAATGTCATATTAAAAGTCAAGATGGCGAAAGTTATTTCATCACAATAATCCCAACTGAAATACCATCAATGGAAAGATATTCTGATTTGGCAACACAACACATTCGAAAGTTGGGAAAATTCTGGGTTCTACATAATCGATTGATGTTGGGAAAAATTTTTAGTTAACCTTTTTGATTTTACAAGGGTGACGCGGTGGCGCAGTGGGTAGCACTGTCGCCCAAGTGTGCCGCAAGCCTACGTTTGAGTGAAGGTTTCGGCCGTTAGATCGCCCCCTGGGGGCTGGCTGCAGTACAAGTCATAAAGCCCGCCTCCTCCGTGTTAATGAAGGAGACTTGAGCCCAAATAAAAAAAAATATTACAGTTGCAATAAAATGTCCCGAAAGATAGTTCTGGTCGATTAAGGCACTGGTTATTGTGCTGAAATAGGTGCAGATCTTCATTTTTGTAAACAGTTTGTTTTTAGCAGTAATTTAATGCTGGGCGTGTCATCGTGATTGACAGCTGTGATTGACAGTTTCTCAAAGCGCGGCGTCTGAGCTTCGGCAGGAGACTGAAGTAGACTGAAATGTTATTATTCGATTTCTGTGTTATTTTACCATGACAAAATGAGTTCAGCAGTAAACTATAGTTTCTGACATACATGATCCTGGTGGAACAACGCTAAGTTCAGGGCTTTTTTCGGGCTTTATTAGTTTGCTGATACACGCCTAGCCACCCAGATAGCAAAACACAGTTCCGGCTAGATTCTCGCCTGCCGGAGACTTATCTCTTAGAGCTCAGACTGACTAATGTTACCTCTGCTGGACCTACTCCGGATGCCTGGACTCACTACCCAATTCCAGCCCGAGTCAATCGAGCCAGATGCGGCGGCCGAGCGAGCAGGCGCTGCCGCATGCGAGCCGGAATCAGCCCGCGACGCCGCGAGTAAGTTATGCGCTGCGGCCTGGAGCTGGCGCGATTGAATATATAAAACCCTCATATTTGTTAACGTTATTAAATCCATTTGTGTTGATATGACAGCAAACGCATGCTGAGAAGTTCGGGGGGCGTAGTTGATTTTACATAAAGCCTTTGATTGGAAGCTCGACTCTGCTCATTTTCGCGGCTCCTCCTCTGGCTCCATCAGACAATCCTTCTGCGCATGTCTGGCTCCAATTTCAGCAGTCTTTTGCGACAGTTTGAGCCCGTCAAGCAGGCGTTTTGCCCTCAAGGCGTTCAATGGGAAAAAGGGCTGTCGCGTCGTCCATATTTTTTACAGTCAATGCTGTCGCCTCACAGCAAGAAGGTTGATGATTCGAGTCCCGACTGGGTCAGCTGGCATTTCTGTGTGGCATTTGCATGTTCTCCCCGTGTTGGCATGGGTTTCCTCTGGGTGCTCTGGTTTCCCCCAAAGTCCAAATATATGTGCTGTAGGTGAATTGGGTAAGCTAAAGGTGCTTTCACACCTGTGAAGCGATTCATTTGTTCCGATACAGGGATTCAAATTGTTACATTGTTGCTCTTTGTTCTTGGTGCGGTTCGCTTTCACACGGCAAAGTTTTTAAACGAACCAAAATAGGTAAAACAAGTCACGTGTGAGTAAACTCTCCTCACATTGGTC